CTCCCCCATCCCCCACCCCATGAAATTTCCTGATGGGAGAAAAAGCTAATTATGTCTCTGGGAGAACGTAACCGCCCCCAGGAAGGTAACGAGGAAGGCGTTGAGAAAGCAAGCGGAGCGAAAGGGAGAGAAGAAACGCTCAAGCTCTTCCTCGAAAGGGAGAGAGGAAGCGCTCAAGCTCTTCCTCGGACACATACGCACACGCACACGCACAGACACACACACGGACACATACGCACACGCACACGCACAGACACACACACGGACACATACGCACACGCACACGCACAGACACACACACGGACACATACGCACACGCACACGCACAGACACACACACGGACACATACGCACACGCACACGCACAGACACACACACGGACACATACGCACACGCACACGCACAGACACACACACGGACACATACGCACACGCACACGCACAGACACACACACGGACACATACGCACACGCACACGCACAGACACACACACGGACACATACGCACACGCACACGCACAGACACACACACGGACACATACGCACACGCACACGCACAGACACACACACGGACACATACGCACACGCACACGCACAGACACACACACGGACACATACGCACACGCACACGCACAGACACACACACGGACACATACGCACACGCACACGCACAGACACACACACGGACACATACGCACACGCACACGCACAGACACACACACGGACACATACGCACACGCACACGCACAGACACACACACGGACACATACGCACACGCACACGCACAGACACACACACGGACACATACGCACACGCACACGCACAGACACACACACGGACACATACGCACACGCACACGCACAGACACACACACGGACACATACGCACACGCACACGCACAGACACACACACGGACACATACGCACACGCACACGCACACGCACAGACACACACACGGACACATACGCACACGCACACGCACAGACACACACACGGACACATACGCACACGCACACGCACAGACACACACACGGACACATACGCACACGCACACGCACAGACACACACACGGACACATACGCACACGCACACGCACAGACACACACACGGACACATACGCACACGCACACGCACAGACACACACACGGACACATACGCACACGCACACGCACAGACACACACACGGACACATACGCACACGCACACGCACACGCACAGACACACACACGGACACATACGCACACGCACACGCACAGACACACACACGGACACATACGCACACGCACACGCACAGACACACACACGGACACATACGCACACGCACACGCACAGACACACACACGGACACATACGCACACGCACACGCACAGACACACACACGGACACATACGCACACGCACACGCACAGACACACACACGGACACATACGCACACGCACACGCACAGACACACACACGGACACATACGCACACGCACACGCACAGACACACACACGGACACATACGCACACGCACACGCACAGACACACACACGGACACATACGCACACGCACACGCACAGACACACACACGGACACATACGCACACGCACACGCACAGACACACACACGGACACATACGCACACGCACACGCACAGACACACACACGGACACATACGCACACGCACACGCACAGACACACACACGGACACATACGCACACGCACACGCACAGACACACACACGGACACATACGCACACGCACACGCACAGACACACACACGGACACATACGCACACGCACACGCACAGACACACACACGGACACATACGCACACGCACACGCACAGACACACACACGGACACATACGCACACGCACACGCACACGCACAGACACACACACGGACACATACGCACACGCACACGCACAGACACACACACGGACACATACGCACACGCACACGCACAGACACACACACGGACACATACGCACACGCACACGCACAGACACACACACGGACACATACGCACACGCACACGCACAGACACACACACGGACACATACGCACACGCACACGCACAGACACACACACGGACACATACGCACACGCACACGCACAGACACACACACGGACACATACGCACACGCACACGCACAGACACACACACGGACACATACGCACACGCACACGCACAGACACACACACGGACACATACGCACACGCACACGCACAGACACACACACGGACACATACGCACACGCACACGCACAGACACACACACGGACACATACGCACACGCACACGCACAGACACACACACGGACACATACGCACACGCACACGCACAGACACACACACGGACACATACGCACACGCACACGCACAGACACACACACGGACACATACGCACACGCACACGCACACGCACAGACACACACACGGACACATACGCACACGCACACGCACAGACACACACACGGGCACACGGACGCATACGCACATGCACACGCACAGACACACACACG